ATTCAAGTTTATTCAAATCATGACCCCCGGGGCTAGGGTGGGGCCAAATTGGCCGACCAAAGTTTAACGTAGAAATATATAGGAAAATTCTTTAAAAATCTTATTCTCAATCATTTTCTAAAAAATAGCAAATTCATGATTGGTCATGGCACTACTTTTGGATTTAAACTTTACAATAAAAAGCCATTTTATACTAGTCCTACCCTTGGTGCTCAGGTGAGCGATGTGGCCCATGGGCCTCTTGTCATTGAGCACTTGTTGGATATCTTAACACTTCTGATTACAAGGTGAAGAGACTTATCATTGATGAAAATAAGTGCTGTTTGTTGGTTCAAGTTGTTGGCCCTGACAATGATTTAAAAGATTTGACTAGCCTTGAGAAAATAATAGCATTTTTTCTTAAAAATATTTTTTATTTAACGAGGCTCAGGGGTCACAGCCATTTTTAGACTATTTCAATCTCCTTTAAAAGGAGAGCTCCATATAAAGATATACAAAATGATGAAATTTTAAAACTAAAATCTTTGATTTTTTTCTTTGTCAAATGATAGTGAGAGTGAAAGATACCATATCGAAAAAAAAATAAGTTAAATCTGGTGGTTAATTTGGGATTTATTTGTTAACCCTCCAGCCTCCTTAAAATGAAAAACAATCATGTACATGATGTACGTTGTAAGAACAATTTTGGTTGGAAATTTGTGGCTCTCGTGACTTTTTGTTAATGAAGGTAAAACATTCTTTCAGGAAATAAATAGAAATGCAGAAGAATTAATATCTGAGGAGGAGAAAGAAAAAAGAAGATTAGAGAAAAGAAAAGCAAAGAAAAAGGTGAACTCAGCTTGAATATTTCAAAATCTGTAAAGATGTTATTGTGTGATTGGGTAACCGTATATAAGATGGTTAGAATTTAAATTGTTTGGCATTCACAATCTTCACATAAAACTTTTCACACTTACTGGATAGATTGACCAGCCTGACCAGTGAAATTTTAAAATTTACTAGCCCACTAAAATATTTCTTGCCCCCATATAAAAATTAAAACCTTATAATTATTATAGATACATGTTTGCATGTATATTTTGAGTACTTCAGTTTTAGAAATACCACCATTTTTTACCCATTTTTTTGTGTTTCAGTAGGGTGTTATTAGGATACTCGCACATTTTATCTACAAGTTAATAGTTCCTAGTTAGTTGCAGTTGTTACGTTATACATCCATGTTATAAAGAATAATACAATTCACCAACATATGCTTGTTCTTTTTATTTAAAATATTAATGAAATTAATGCAAGAGAGGCAGTTTGAATATATATTGTTTGTTCTTTTTATTTAAAATATTAATGAAATTAATGCAAGAGAGGCAGTTTGAATATATATTGACTGTGAATAATTGTAATAATCAGCAAGTCAATCAGACTTGAAATTTGATTTTTACAGATTTTCATCAAAATTCACTAATCTTGGTCTTCAGACCAATTTGTTTTTGTGAAGAACTTTTTTTCTGGACAACTGAATTTTATGAATGGAATGGAGATTAAACTTAAGAGTACTTGTACGTTGTACATTAATTTTTATGTTCCCCAAACGAAGTTGGGGAACATATTGTTTTTACTCTGTTTCTTATTATTATTATTAAGGTCTTCCGACTTCCTTTGGAAGACCTTACTATTTTCCTTCTGTTTTATATTATTATTATTATTCTTTTTTCATAGTACAGCCGATTTCTCAGCTATGCGTGGACAGATTTCATAGATTTTCTCAGGGAAGATGCATCATGAGAATATCTCCAGACGTGTTTTTCATTTTTTCAAAATTTACTTCCGTTCGCGATTTTGGGGGATTTTTGTATTTTTTAAAAGGCATTTTGTCCAGCAGTTTTCTTGAGAACGGATAAAGGTATGAAAGTGAAACTAACTGAGGTGATAGAACATCGAACTCCATTATGGGGAACGATCTTTATTTTTCGTCGTCAGCACTTCCGGTCGTAAAAGGAAGTGAATTCAAAAAGTCACATTTCTCAACTTTTTTGTTTTTCAATATTTTTCTTTAGCATTTACAGGGATTATAGTGTGTGTTATGAGAATTCTAAATATCTATTTAGTATCTTGATGCGTGCATCTATTGAACAGATATGACCAAACCAAACTTTGTCCCACTGTCGGGGGTTCGAATCCCACTGTGGGCGTTAAAATTTTTTTTCTTTGTTTCTATCTTTTTTTCAGTTGCAAATAACTTTTCTCTCTTTTTTAACGTATGGACTATTTTGCCGATTTTTAAAAGCTATTTTTGAGATATTTTGAGTAGTAATCATGAGATATGTAAAGAGGCTGCTGTAAATGATATTTTATCAGGTGACACAGCATAGAATTCTAACGGAAATCGGTCGGAAGACCTGCTTGTTGCACCAGCAACAAGAACGCATCTAGTTAGGGTCTTCCGCTTCCTTCGGAAGACCCTACTGTTATTCTACTGTTTCTTATTATTATTTTATTTTTTTTTTCCCGCTCGATTTTTGACAGGCGATTTCTCAAAAACCTTTGGACTGATTTTTATGAAACTTTCAGGTTAGATACCTTGTAATTAAACCTATTTATACCTGTTTTCAATTTTTTGATACATGCCTTTAATTGTGAGTTATTGCCCTTTAATTAATAATTTTGATGTCTCGTTTCCACTAAAAATCTCAAGAACGACGCAAGATATTTACACGAAAGTTGGAGAACTTGTAGCCAATACATTGTAGACGTGCACAACGATAAAATTATAAGCTGATTTCCTAAAGTTTGGAAGCTATAAAACGGCAAATTTTAGTAATTTTTTTCTTGAATTTTTGCTACTTTTTGTGTAATAACTTTTGAACCGAGAATAATTTGGTAAGAAATGTAGAACAAAAGTTGTTTGTAATTACGAGAGCTTTCATATTAGATTAATGAAAGAGGGGCTGGTCCCTATAATTAGGGGTTAATAGCTCATACACGTTTTTTCTAAAAGCTAAAAATATTGGTATATTATGAAAAAGTTTGACTGAAATAATTTCGAACATATAAAATCTTGTCATTTGATATAAAAAGAAATAAACTTCCAGCTATATTTCATTGTTTTTTTTATAAAACAAGTACATGTATGTGAGAAACCTTTCAGGAACAAGTTGTCTATACTAATATTATAGCCAGCAAAGCCTTTTCTGCATACATGTGCACATTTTTAGTTGATGCATCTAAAAGATATAGATTTAATTCGGTGTTTCTTTGTTTTCTTTTTATTCAAATAATTTCAAAATGTGATGATGTACACAACAATAATTAGTACGTAGTTTAGAGGATTTTTCGCGCTTGTTTGTAAAAAAAGCGCGGCATTGTGGGAAATAGGAAGGTACTAAAGACGCGATGTACAAAACACTCCTTTAACCTGATTAAATTTTGTCTGTTAATGTTCCAAGCAATTGAATTTTTGTATAGCATATGCCTCGAAGTCATAACGTCTGTACCTAAGTAATTTAAAATACTCAATATTACCATTTAATTAAAAATTAAAAGGTCACGTTAATATCAGGTCTCTAGTATATCCCGTTTTTAGTGTGCCCCTTCGAGTCGACGTCGGACACATGTTTGTCATGGTTTTACTTTACAAACTGAAAATAGAATGATTTGTGAAGTTGAACATTTTCTCTCGAAGAATCCGTTTGTAGACATACACACTCATTTAATCTGGAGCTACGAAGTACTTTGTCACTTCTCTGGAACATTATTCTAAGCAGAATTATCTCGATTCATATACTCTAAGAATCTTGTGTGAATTGTTTACGAGGAAATTCTGACTGTCACATTAACAAGGATGAACACTCTTGACTCGGCTTCGGATTCCCCAGTGATAATTTTATCGAGTGCCGAAAGAGCTGACGGCGACATTTTAATGAATGATTGGCTTGGACCATTGGAATGAAGGTAAGAATATTTTTATTACTTATAATTTACACTACTGATTACCAGGTCCGGCACAATGTCTTGATTAAGCTATATAGCTTGATTTAGCTATATAGCTTTATTAAGCTATTCAGAATAGCTTGATTAAGCTATTTTCTCAGACTTTTTTCTCAAATGTGTTATTTTTTCAACATGTGCAAAAAGTCGCACCTAGGTGCAGTGGAAATATTAAACTTTGTTTTCTTCTGAATGCAATGCATGTAAAAATTACTCACCAAATTGCGTCTCCTTTTTAGACTTTGTACTCAAAGATTTAAAAGTTTTGGGGCTATTGATGAGTGGCAACACAGTTATTTCTTGAATGAAATTATAAAGGAGGCCAGTTATGGCCGATAGGATAATTGATTAGTAACAGTTCAGCACAATGAGAAGCAATCATACTTACCCATGCCTCACCGCACATTCAGTTACTCAAACAATGGAAATTCTTATTTTGATAAAAGTATTCAACAGCAGCAATGTAAGAATTTTCTATGATTTAGGTTGTATTTTTGGTAGTCCATAATACATATATGAATAGTCAAATACTTGCGACTTTTTGTTTATTTCTTTCAAAACGTTTTTGTGAAAAACTGCATATAAATAGCTTTATCAAGCTATTCTGAATAGCTTAATAAAGCTATATAGCTTTTTAAAGCTATATAGCTTAATCAAGAGATTGTGCTGGACCTGATTACATGACAGTGACGTACATTGATGTTATTAGAAATACACAGACACACCGATCTGTTTTACAGTTCAGACGCTTTCTGTTTGCCTTGCAAATCCCAACAGCTTTATATTTTATTTTTTTTTTTTATTTGAGGATGTAATTTCAACAGTCCTACTATCTATCATAGTGATCATACTATATAATTCAAACTGCACTTAATGTTACAGAATATATTCAACTAATTATATATTGACAGTGTGACTGTAAGGGTGAGGGCAGATACTTATTTAGTTTTCATTTAGATTGTGCTTGTCAAGCTGCATTTGACATTTGGTGCATCTATGCTCAATGTTCACACTGAGAGTATATTCAAATGTTTAAATGAATAAACTGCTCGTTAAATTACTTCCCATTAGCTCCATGTGAACGTGAGTAAGGATAGCTAGATTTAATTCAAATTAAATAGAAATGAATTTTGAATGTTGCTTAAACATGTTAAAGAAGCTAAGCACTGTGTGTCCAAAGTATACTGCGGAAAAATTGTGTGGAGCAATGTGCAAGTCACAATCTTCTTTTGCCAAGGTGTTACCATAAGAGCTCGCATTATGGGCAGGGATTTGTGCTGCTGTCTGGACTCGCTATAAATAGATGTTCTCAAAAAGTCTTAATTATTTAATATCATACTTTACTGACAAAAAAGGATAAATATTGCTCAGTTAAATTGCAAAAGAAATTTGTTTAAAAAAATTGTAATAATAGAAAGTTTGCTTTTTTTGTTTGATCATGTTGATAAGACTGCTGTAATGGTTTAATGTTTGTTTATTTGCCTTAATCATACATTTTTCAGTCATTTCATGTCGTCACCACTTGGAATGGTATTAGCTACAAATATAGACTTGTACTCAGCACTCATTGCCTTTAAGAAGTATGAGATCCATTTTGTGCTAACACCTACCCTGACACAGAATCTTGGTTTATGCAGTCTCATAGGAGTAACCTGTCTAAAGCATTTAGCAAGGGGATTGGAACCTGCGACGTAAGGTTCACCTTCTTATTGATACTTTGATTTATAATATTTATTTGAGAATTTCACTCATTCACATACTCAGAGATATTGATATATATTGTTGAATAGCATCAATTTTAACCTTTAATTAGCTAAGTAAACATGTACTGTGAGGTTTTTAAGGTCTCATTCATTTTATATGCCAGATGCATGTTAAGGAACATTACTGCATAAATGTTTTTATCTTAAATTTAAAGCTTTTTACTAAAATAGAGATATGTTAGTTTTAACCCTCTTCAAATTAGGGTAGACCTTTACTATAAACTCAGCAATGTGAGTGTGTTGTGTGAACTTGTGTTAGCGAAACAGTGTGTTGTATGAATTTGTGTTAGCAAGGCAGTGTGTTTTGTGAACTTAATTGTGTTAGCCTGACAGTGGGTTGTGTGAATTCTTGTTAGTTTGACAATGTGTTGCGTAAACTTGTGTTAGCGGGACAGCGTGTTGTGTAAAATCGTGTATAAAGTGTAGGTGTGACAGTGTGTTGTGTAAACTTGTGTTAGCTAGACAGAGTGTTGATTGAACTCGTATTAGCGAGACTTCGTGTTGTGTAAACTGGTGTTAGTGAGACTGCGTGTTGTGTTAACTCGTGTTAGCGAGACTGCGTGTTGTGCAAACTCATGTTAGCGAGACAGCGTTGTGTGTGAACTCTTATTAACGAGACAGCATGTTTTGTGAATTTGTGTTAGCGTGACAGTGTGTTGTGTGAACTTGTTATCCTGAAAATTTGTCGTGTGAACTGGTGTTAGAGAGATAGTGTGTTGTGAGAACTCGTGTTAGCAAGATTGCATGTTTTTTTAATTTGCGTTAGCGTGACAGTGTGTTGTGTGAACTCGTGTAAGCCTGACAGTTTGTTATGTGAAATGGTATTAGGATGACAGTGTGTTATCGCAACAGCGTTTGGTGCGAACTTGTGTAAGTGAATAGTGAGACAGCCTGTTTTGAGAATTCGTGTTAGCATGACAGTGTGTTGTGTGAACTCTTGTTAGCCTTACAGTGCGTTGTGTGAAATGGTATTAAAATGACAGTGTGTTGTGTGAAATGGTACTAGGATGACAGTGTGTTATCGCAACAGCATTTGGTGTGAACTTGTGTTAGTGAATAGTGAGACAGCCTGTTTTGTGACTTTGTGTTAGCGTGACAGTGTATTGTGTAAACTCGTGTTAGCGTGACAGTGTATTGTGTAAACACGTGTTAGTGAGACTGCGTGTTGTGTAAACTCATGTTAGCGTGACAGTGTGTTGTGTGAATTCATCTAAGGGTGACACGGTGACAGTGTGTTGTATGAACTCGTATTAGCGAGACTGCGTGTTGTGTAAAACCTGTGTTAGCGAGACAGCGTGTTGTGTGAACTTGTGTTAGCGTGACAGCGTGTTTGCGAATTCTTGTTAGCATGATAGTATGTTGTGTGAACTTGTGTTAGCCTGATATTTTGTTGTGTGAAATTGTATTAGCGTGACAGTGTGTTGTGTGTTAGTGTGAAGGTGTTTTTGCATGATTACTTTGCACTTGTATGTTGTCTTATAAGGGAATAGCATAAATGACTGCCTTAATTTGTGTAAACTTCTTTTAATTGATGAAAGAGTACATTAAAATTTACAAATTATATACAGAAAATGTGACAATATCTTATCTCTCAATTTGATAATCTAATTTATAATCTCATGAATTGCACTTTTTATTAGTAAAACAATTATAGATTAAAACATTTCAATTTCTTTTGGATAGGTGTGGCTCATTTGAAGACTGAATTTTGATACCAAGCATGACCATGATTTGCCAGAAGATCATCTGTTTGGATGTGACACAGAGTTTCCCAAAACTATCGGTCCTACCGGCAAAACCGATAGAAAATCGAAATGTCCGATGAAATTCGCTAGAGTACCGGTCCGTGTGACCGATTGTGGTGAGGGCTTGTCCTGATTAATTTATTGTGCTCTAATGCATTGCAATATCTTCATAAATGTAAATTTGCAATGCAGTAAGCTCCTATTCTTCGTTAATATCCATAATCTTATCCATTTTGCAGTTCTACTTGACTTATTTACTTCCAAAAACGATCGTTTATTTCCTGATCCGAATTTCCTCCATTCCTCTGTTTGTAAACGCATGCAGTATATATAGGTCGAAAAGTGCAATGCCCACTAAGAAAACGTAAAGATAATTTGAAATTTATTTCTACAAGATTTCTATCATAACTGCTATTTATATATGATTCAATTTTACAAGTGAGAATTAAACTTTAAATTTTAAAAAGAATTCTAGAAACCTTGAGAAGTTTTTTTTTTTCAAGAATTAACTTTTTTTTTATAATTAGTTGTTTCTTTCACCCAACATATACTTAGGGCTTGTCACTTTTTTGCTGCCACAAGCCTGCGTGAGCTGGTGCCATGCTTGAATAAATTATACATGTAGTTGCAAAACCCTGGTATCACAATCAATGTTTGTCCACAAAATTTTTTACAGATAAAAGCCTTTTTCTTTGAATTACATTTGACATGAAATATACACTGTATATTTTAAAATTTATTTGGACTGATAGAATATGCTTCGGACCAGTTGAGCACATTAAGTCATCAGTCCGAATGACTGATAGAAATATTTGGTTTTCGGAAACTCTGGTGACATGGAATAAACAGCATAGTGAAAATAAGTCAAGTGTTGGATTGTGAAGACGATTTTTAAACACACTGTCTATCATTTTAAAATTTTGATTTGACAACATAAATCCACAAATATGAACATATCAACTGCCCTCGGTTTTTCTAGTGAAATAGTTTTTGTAACAGAAATACATGTACCAGTAATTACATTGGAATAAATGTTATTTTTAAATATAATAATATTTTGTTTGTGTAGCATGTTGACCTTTTTATTAAGGTCTTCCTTTTCAAAGTTTAGACTTACTTATTCTAATGATTAAGATAGATCCTTTGTCTTCAGCAGGAATAGAAGATCTTGTAATACATGTATTTGTATTTTTTACAGAATAACGTAAAAAAATTGTTATTTTGGCACATACAACTAATTAAAGGCATAAACATGTGTATGATTCCAAGGAATTCAGTACATAGGGCATGTACATGTAGATTTCTAAAACAAGATTGAAGAGATGTCCAGTTGCATTTCAATGTCAGCTGCAAAACTGTGCCTGTTGCATACTTATTAGCCCATCTGAGCTAAAGGAACCAGTAATTTTTTTAAAAACATAATTTTATCCATTATCATCATTGTCTAAAATTTCACAATATCATTTTCCTGAACCAAAGTGAAACTTGGCACAGAGCATCCTTAGTGTAGGGGATTCAAATTGTTCTTATTCAGGGCAATACCTTCAAAGAGATTTGTTTCTTTAATGCTGTAAATGTATTATCTTTAGCTTATACAATATTTGGTGGAAATTGACTTTTGAATAAGTTAGCGTAGATTCCGGTATTCTTATTTATGTTTATGTACAAGACTTTTAGCTTTGTGCTTGATTTAGTGATTGCTGCATTCCGCAAAAGCCGCTAAAAAAGAATACACAGCCATATGTAATATGTTTACAATATACCTTTCAGAGAATTTTACACTCCTATTGAGGTACCACCAGTTGCTAGTGGAAAGCTGCAAATTCAAAACATACACAACACATTTCTGTGCGTTTACTTTAAAAGTATTGTTCTACTTACTGAGTGCAACTAATGAAGATTGTTCATCATTATTGTAAATACATTTGGATTTTTTGAATTATTATATAATTTGTTTATTTTATTTACCTAGTTATATTGTATATTTAGATGATTTTAAAGCCATTTTTAAGATGGTAATGTAGCATAACACTTATGTTTCTGTAGTATGACACGTTTCACAAACATAATTGCAACAAACAGGATATATCTGATATCAAAAGTCATAATATAAGTTAAACTGTCGTGGATACGATTTCAAGAATGCTGTTAGAGAGAGTACCCTTTAGACCCCATTCTCACACCAAATTAAAGAATTCAAGTAAGGTTTGTGAGACAAATCGAAAAAGAGAATGTAAGCATAGTTGACAATCTAGACAGAAACATTTTATCTTTTGCTTAGCGCTAGGAAGGAAGACCCACTCGTTGCTTTGCAACGAGCTTTGCTCTAGTTATTATTATTTTTCTTCTTCTTCCTGGGTACTTTTTTGTCCGGGAATGATCCTGTAAACTGTTCGTCCGATGTAGGTAAAACCTTTTTAGGGTCAGTAGACATGTTATGTAGATTTGCGGAATCAAGGTCATTTTGCGCGCACGTGCTTGCAAGAGCGTGCACGTGCAACACGTGAAATGACCAATATAATGGATATTGCCGTAACTTTTCTATTTTTTGATGAAATTTTTTGAAACTCATAATGTAAGGATACATTAGTAGTATAGACAAGCTGGCATGGTCAAAATAGCAAGAACTCACGCGCATGCACGTGCACTTCGCTCTGATTGGCTGAAACTAAAGTCTCAATATCTTTCTTGTTTCTTGTCATAATCCTTTGAAATTTTGAACATAGTCCTACATTATGAAGATCTACAGCATGATATATAAGAATGTTCATGAAAGCATGTGCATGCGCGTGTGCTGCAATCTGATTGGCTGAAACTTTAAATGGCTATATCTCCTTTGTATTTTGACGAAATGCTTTGAAATTTAAAATATAGTCATGCATTAGGATATCCTACAATATGATATAGAAAAAAAATCATGAAATTACGCGCATGCACGTGTGCTGCAATCTGATTGGCTGAAACTTGAAATGGCTAAAACTCCCTTGTTTTTCAACCAAACAGGATGGGATTTAGAATATAGATAGATATAGAGGACTCCTACAGGAAGGTATGGTGATCATGCTCGTGCACGCACGTGCGTGCATTTCGAACGAGTGAAATTTAAAAAACCTTGAATGAGTGATTTTTAATACTTTTGGACTGAATGCTTTAATATATAGTATATTAAAATGTATAGATAGTGTAGACAAGATGATATGGTTATATCTCACATGTATTCGCATGCGCACAGGTGCAAAGCTAAAATTTAAATATAATTGGTATCCTTCTGGGAAAACGTTGTTAAAGTCATAAATGCACAGAGGTTGTTTTATTTAATGAAGCTTACAGGGAATATGGCACCAAAAGGGAGTTGGGGAGCGTTTGGGGAACATCTGTAACGGTTCTCGTTACAATTAGCACTAGTTTATATTGTTTTCTGTACTTTTTATCTCTGTATTTTCCAATTCCAGAGAAGGAGAGAGAAAAAGAAGTTAGAAAAACAGAAAGAACAGACAAAGGTAAATTCTAAAGCAACTTTTTTTTTTGTTAATGGTAAAACTCAGTTGACAAGGATTGAATCAAACAATCACAAATAATGCTTTTCCCGTAAGAGGACACAGTTATTAGTTTAATGATAAGAATTTTTTGATTGAAATTATTCAGAATCAAAAGAATCACATAGATCATATTTTATCCCATGAAAACTACTTTTCTGTAATTTTGCATGGTCATTTCTTTCCCAAATTTTATTTATTTACCAGCGACTTTTTTTACACCCATTAGGAATGGGGTGCTGCATAATATTTTGATATCGCGATATATTGAACCCGAGTTCAATATATGGCATAGTATTTTGAACCCGGGTTCTCTTTTTTGCTGCAATATATTGAACCCTTTTATAAAATATTGAACCCCCACCTTTTTCACTCAAAAGGTAAGGGGTTCAAAATATTATGGCCATTAAATTTTGAGTCCCCCTGCCCCTTTTAATTTATGTAAGAGGGGGGTTCAAAATATCATGGCCATATAATATTGAGCCCCACTGTCCCATATATTTTAGAAAGAGAGGGGTTCAAAATATTATGACCCATACATGTGATATGTACCGGCTGTACAGAAATGTCCCGTATTTTCGACCCCCATCACGGCGTCCCAGTGGGACACCAAAATTCACGGGAAATGAAAATGTGTACCGGATTTTGAATTGTTTACAATGTTAACCGGAAACCGCCATTTTTCTTTCATTCCTGCTCGCAAGACAGGAAATCTTGAACTATGCTTGACTTACTGCGCTTGATAAATGTAAACAAAACATCGAGAGCAAAGGTGTGAAATATTCCCGCGGTAATTTCATCATAATTAGGTGATATCAAAGCGTTTTATTTGGCTGATTGTTTAAATTGGACCTTTATCAAGGTTTTTAATTAAAACTAAAGACATTTCAAAGAGAAAACGGCCATTCACAACAATCAGAGACACTTAGTGACAGCAAAACGAAATTTAGTCCATTATTTGATCATAGGTATACGTATTGCCTATTCAAACACAGATTAAGAGAAATAATTTTTTTTAATACAATTTGAAAATTGCAGCTGAATGCAAACGACCAGACTCATACAATAAACTGTTTTTATAAATACTGTACATTTTCAGCATTTAGCCTAGTTTAATGCCGATATTCAAAATTCTTCAAGATTTTCTTGAAAATAATAATAAATCAACACATATGTAATGCAGTGTTGCACCTGTACATTGATTTAAAATTTATAATTGAAAAATAAACACCTTATATGGTTTTTGGGGTCAATATTTTGTACCGTTTTTTGTACAGTATTTTGATTAGCGATGTACAGTATTTTCACCCAAATTCCAGTATTTTGAAGGCTGCTGTACAGTATTTGGGCCAGAAATTATCACATGTATGATGACCATAAAATATTGACTCTCACACTGTACATACAAACATTGAATGGAGGAAACTCCTCTAGAATTTACCCATTAATGTGTTGTTAAAATATGCAGATGTCTT